ACTCTTTTTGCCTGGGCTAGAGTGCCGTGGCGTCAGCCTAGCTCACAGCAACCTCAAACTCCTGGGCCCAAGCGATCCTCCTGCCTCAGCCTCCCAAGTAGCTGGGACTACAGGCATGCGCCACCATGCCCAGCTAATTTTTTCTATATAGTTTTAGTTGTCCGATTAATTTCTTTCTATTTTTAGTAGAGACAGGGTCTCGCTCTTGCTCAGGCTGAACTCGAACCCCTGAGCTCAAATGATCTGCCCGCCTCTGCCTCCCGGAGTGCTAGGATTACAGGCGTGAGCCACCGTGCCCGGCCTAAAATTCTTATTCTTTTACCCACTACCCTTTTCTGGGAGGTCTCAGCCGTTTGGTACTTTTTTCTCTTAAACTTTGGTGGGAGAATGGGAGAATGGCTTAGAAAATATTCTCCCTGTGGGCATGGAGGAACCTTTAGTGTTTTGTTTTAGTTTGTACAGTTTTTAAAGGACATTTTCTTTCAGATAGAATTTGTGTCATGAAAGCTGTTCAAGTATTTTCCCATTCACTTTCAGGAATAAATGCTGAAATGTGAAATGCATGTATGTATATAATACAAACTGACATGCATATGCATGTTATTTATGTGCAAACATACTTATGCATATTTATAGCGGTACATTAAGTCTATTATATCCACGTATAGAGATTTTTATGTAATAACCTGTGAGTTAACACTAAGATCATACTTGGAACCATTAGTTATATATGGGACAGAAAAGTGGGTTGTCCAGTGCTTTCTGAGAACCAGCCCGCTCCCAAGTGGAAGACGTAAAATGGGCATAAACCGCCACACAACACCTGGCAAGTCCTTCACCGTGCGGGAGAGAGCGGAAGTGCCAGTCACCTGGCTTCCTCTGCAGACTCCTCTCCAAGTGCTAAAACTGTCCGTGGGTTTGTAGGCTGTAGCCTCTTCTCGTGCTGTCCCTTGATTCTGAGTGGAAGATTCTGTTCATTTTGTTGTCCCCAGGATTGTTGGACAGTCGTATTTTGATGTGTCGGGGCCAGTTTCTCCGTCTGGTGCCTCTGTATTTGAAGAGTATTTGAAGGACATTCTTTTATTCCTTTAACGCACCTGCCTAAAGGACATTCCTTTGTATGTACTGTGTACCTAGCACAGCTGCCCACAAGGAGCTTCCTATCTGGCTGGGGACATCAGACATAGCTAAGGGTATGAGATCCTAAATGAGCATCCTTAACATGTGGTCCTGGGGCCTGGGAGCCCATTCTTCCTGTGGCCTCCTCAGAAGACATCAAGGAGATGACATTGATAGCTTTTGATGACTTTCCTAAGTGAGCAGCTGTTGTTTCAGATTGCGAAGGCCACTCTGGGGACATCTAAAGGGAGGGTAGCAGTGCAGATACAGTCGCACAGGTAGGCAGGGGCAACACTGGGCTTTTCCACGTTCTGGAAAAGTCAGTGCGTGCTTTCCTGCAGTTGCCAGGGTGCTGGGCACCTGGACAGCGGAGAGACATTGCCCCACCTGGCGAGAACCAAGCCATGGTTGCTGTGGCAGAATCCTCCAAGTGCCCAGGCAGCTGACTCAGGCCACAGCACGCAGGAGGGAGCAGGGAGAGGCAGAAGGACTGTCAATGAAGTCTGCTTCTGGGGACTGTACCGTGGGAGGGAATGCGCTTGGTGCCAGCTCTCCCAAATGGCATGGAGGTTTAGGAGGATGCGTGTGCACATGCGCACGTGCGCACACACACACACACACACACACACACACACAGCCACTGTAGAGCACAGAGTATGAGTGAGTGAATAAATGATTGAATGTACCCAGCATTCTTGTCTCTTAGGAGACTCTTCCCAACCATTACACAGGAAAGGAAAGGAAATAACAAGCTCCATTTGTGCACGAGGATAATGACACTTGCTCAGGTTGCTGTAGATTGTACTTTTCCACTGATGCAGAAAGGGAGGCTCTGCCAAAGAATGTCCTTGGAGTGATTCAATGCATTTTTCCTTCTGTTATTTAAGTCAAATGTATTTAATGTAAGCAATTCAGCTGTGAGCTGGAATGCGTGATGCGTCTTTCAGCCCCGTGTGGCAACCCACCGTGTGAACGTTTCCAGTTTTAGTTCCATCAGGTGTGTGAGCTGACAGTGGTCTGGATGGTGGTGGTTGTTTTTAAAGCACACACCCCAAAATGGTCTTGTCAGCTAGTTGGCCAGGGAAAACCTGTCTGGGGGCTTAAAGGCATTAATGTTTGTTGTTCATGCATTTATTCATTCAGTAGTTACTGAACATTTACCATGGACACAGTAGTATACCACATGTGTTTTGAGGATACGAAAATGGGAGAATACCCCGCTCCCAAAGCTGCAGGGACTCACTGAGTTCTCAAAATATACTTTATATTGACAATCCATTAAATGAGTTAGTGAAAGTCAAAAATTTAATTTTTAAAATGTATATCAACAGAAGTGGGTGTAACTGAGTTAATTCAGTAAAAGTGGTGGCGTTTTTAAAAAGTGAACTTCAAAGATTTTGTTTCTAGGCCTGAGTACTTTGCATGCGCTTGTGTGTGTGAGCGTGCAAATACACACACACCCATGTTTAGGTCCTTCATGCTCTCCTGAGCCCAGGCTGGCCTACTCGAGTGCGCCAGTTTCTCTCTGCAGGACTTCGTGGGCATATTGTGTGTGTCACAAGTTGCACAAGCACAGAGGCTTGGGAACTTGCTATCACCAAGGGCCTCCAGCAGTTCTCACCCTCTGGTCTCCCTCACCCTTCATTCCCCTCAAGGCAGGAAAAAGACCAGAAATTCCTGAGGCCATAGTGTTCCCAGGGCACAATCACCATCCATCACTCCCCGCTGGGCAAATGTAAACATGCACTGGCTGATAGTGGTGTTATTTATTGTCATGGACTTAGATATGGATTTGAGCAGGGGCGGCTTATGGCCAAGCATTATTCACCTGCTCCCCTGGGAGGCTCTGCTCAGTGGGCACAGCGGGGTGGAAGGGAGGTGCGGGGCAAAGGTCCGAGTCCTTGCAGCTGAGAAGAGGGCTGGGGCTTTGCCATGGGGGCTGCCCATGGTCAACACGTTGGAGTGGGTTGGAGTCTGTTGCCACTTTGGAACCAGGTTCTGGAAGGCTGTCTGTTAATTGGAGTGAAGGCTGTTTCCACATGATGCCAGATACCTGGTCATTCTGGGGTGGGTGGGGATTGATCAGTGTTACTGGTGTCAAGTTGCTGCAGGTGGGTGGTGGATTGTGGCAGTGTCACTTGAACCCAAGGGACCATTGCTTACTTTGTCAAACGTTTCACTTAATCAGCTGTGCTGACTTCCTGAGTGTGTGTGATGAAAAGCCCTGTGCAACACAAGGCCCTTGTTCTCAAGGAACTTACACTTTTGGGTCCCAGACACCAGCCACCCCCACCACGTATAGTCAGAGAAATCATCTGAATGGATGATGATCAAGTCTGCAATTTGCAGTGTCAAGAGACAGAGGTGGGGTCACCAAAAGGCAGCCAAATCTCAGCCCTCCCCCCTCTGCCCAGTCTGCCAGCCCGATCCTGCACCTGCTTGGTCCCGGGCGATAGGACCTGTCATTCCTGCACAGAGTGGACTTGCAGTCAGGCAGGTGGGGAGGGCTCAGCTCTCAGCTTGGTGCTCATGAGCTCTTTCAGTTCAACTTTCCTATCTGTAAAGTGGGAATCATGAGCCCAACGCACAGGGTGATGTGAGAATAAGTACGGTAACAGGTGAGGTGCCAGGCACACAACACGGGCTCAGTGATGCAGCTTTTCACATTAGTTCTGGCTGCGCAATGGTGGGTGTGCTAGAGCCGGGGAGACGGTGGTGATGAGCACACCCCGACTCAGTAACGGGGGGAGGGGAAAGGAAGGTGCCACGCTGACAAGGAGGACAGGCGTTGGAGTCTCCAGGCAGATCCAGGGTGCTTGGGGACCTTGCAGAGTGCATTGATGCATGAATGCTAGTGAAAGTTCTCCTTTAGGTCAAAGTGAGTGTGGCGTCCAGAGGTCAGTTTCAGGATCCTGGGTGCCTCCCTGAAAATGCAGCATAGGGGAGAAAGGGGAGAAGGATGTTTCAGTTTAAGCAAAGAGCTGTGGGCACTGAGTGTGTATAGTGCCTGTGCCAGATGCCTTGGGGAGCGTGACTATGAATATACGTGGCCTCAAGGCCATATGTGGCCCTCCACATCCCCAAGTGTGACCCCTCAACCAAATCCAAACTTCACAGAGCAAATCCCTTTATTAAAAGAATTTGTTCTGTAAAATTTGGATTCAGTCAAAAGGCCGCACGCAAGGATCCACATGTCGCCCCATGGTCTACAAGAACCTTTACTCTCCCAGACAGATGGTGGTGGGCTCCGTAGCAGCACAGAGAGACCCAGTGTGAGCAGAGGACAGAGAAGGGCTAGCCCCAGGAGCTCTGGAACGGAGGGAAGACTGGAGGGCTCTGGGATGCTCCGTGAACGGGCAGGAGCTCCAGGCCCAGAGATCTTCATGGATGAATACAATTGAGCGACTAGATAGCCAGCTTCTGTGGGCAGAGGACATTTCTTTTACTTCTACTTTGCTCTCAGTGGTGTTTGTCATAGTCCTGTGCACACAGTAGGTACACAGCAGACCCCTGTTTAACACATGAATGAATAAGCCTAACACAAAACACCTTTCTAAATCAAGTTACGGTTATTGTCAAGTGGATGTACTTGCAGAGAGCGACGGCATAGGATGGCAGAAGAGTGCCTAAGGATGTGTGTTCCCTTCTTGGCCATTTCCCTTTGTGGATTTCTGGTGCGCAGACTAGTTCAGCCCCCTTCAGTTAGAGGTCAGTGTCTCCCAGAGGTGCCTATCAGGGAGATGTTTCCATCTCTTTGGGTGTAACCCAGTAACTTTATCAATGGCCTCCCAGCCAAGACAAGCAAGCCACTGGCACCTCTGGGAGCTCCAGGGCTCTAGACAGATGTAAGTGACATTCTTTGGAATATGTCTGTGTTACAGATGTGGACGAGTGTGCGACGGATTCCCACCAGTGCAACCCTACCCAGATCTGCATCAACACAGAAGGAGGATATACCTGCTCTTGCACCGATGGGTATTGGCTTCTGGAAGGCCAATGCTTAGGTAACAACTCCCTGGGGTTCACAGAGACTCTTGGAAGTTAATGGATATTGAGAGATGTGGACAGAGCTGTCTGCCTAAGGGTGCTAAGCTTTCCTTTGGGGGGACAGGAGGGATAGAAGGCTTTCGAGCTTACGTGTATCACCACCCTTGAAAATCAGTTGTGACCATCACCATCATGTCCTCGTTATAGTTTTTGAATGTATTTGTAAGGGCTCGAGTTTGATTTTACCTAGACCTTCCTCCTGCCTGCAGGAGGTTTATGTCTAAGCCGGGAAGTGACAGAGGTAAGGGTTCTTTTGCACTAGACAGAAATAATACTAAGAAAAGAGAACACTTTTGCTTAGTTGCAGCAATGTTCCATGCCTCAAATGTGGATTAGTAGATTCTGATCTCACATCAGTTCCTCCCCACACCGTTCCCACCCCACTAGCAGTGGCCTTCCTTGCTGCTCCTAAAGAGTCAGTCATTACCAGTTGAGAATTTTGTCCCTTGCAGTTGGCATCTGCTATATGATCTTTCTGTTTATTTTTACTCGAGGGTTGTTTTCCTTTCGTCCCCTCTAGTTTTGGGTTTAGCTGAGTGAATGAATTCGCGGCAATCTCTAGCTGTCACTTCAATTTCTAATTCTAGGATGTGATTTCTATGCTGTGTTTTCTTGGAAAAGCCTTGCCAGCTTAAATTCTCTAAGACACTATTCTGTTGCCTGAAAGTCAGTCCTGGAGGATCTGAGAAACCGATCCAAACAATATCATGGAAACAAAAAGAGGAGGTGCTTCTTTCCAAGTCCCTTTTGATTGGGGCTGAGTTTGGGACTGCTTTCAATCCCCATCTGAGTGTCCTCGAGGCCTGATAAGCCAGCCTAGACTTGGCTGGGTTCTCCTTTCCAGGCACGCACACGGGCATTTGTGAATATGATGGTTGCTGTGCGTTTAAACCAACCTCTGCTATAATGGAAAATTTGATGCTACCGATTTCAACATAAGCAGATCAGCGAGAGGGAATTATTTGTACAGGAACTTAATGTGTAGAATTTCAGAGCTGGAAGGTATTTTAGATATTATGTCATCCAACTTTTATAGAGGTGGAGACCGAGACTCAAAGAGGAGGAATATTTTGGACAAAGTTAAAGTGAGTTGGGTCTAACAGCCAAGTCTGCTGTGTCTCGGTCCAGTTTTCTTCCCACCACAAGGGGCGCTAGGGAGGTAGAGACCCAGATGCACAGGCCCCATTATGGAGACCTTAGTGCCAGGGAACCTCGCCTGATCTGAGGGGTGCCAGCAACTCAGAACCTTCTTCTACCTGGGAGGGCTGTTCTCTTCCTCGAAGCGTGAAGCTTTGGAAGGGATGCTCATGGAGGCCCAACACGGTGTCATGTGGCACAGCCCGCTCACGTTTCACATCTGAAGTAAAGCCCTTTCCTAGTAAGGACTGAACTCACGCCAAATTCTCCTTTCTCTTGCAAAATGCAAGTTCCATAGCCACCCACCACCTGCTCTGTGCACCTTTGGAGAGAGTGCTTTTGCAGGAAAATGAGGGGCAGGGGGCTGCCTTCCCTCCAAGGTACCTCTAGGCAAAGGGTACCCTCTCCAGTCCCTGCTGCCTCCCTGGGCCTTGGCGATGTGCCCAACTGCACCTGGGGAGAGGTCAGGACCAGCACCTGTACAAGCCAGGGGGCTTTCTAAGCGGAAGCTGCCCAGCACTCAGGGGATAGTGGGGCGGGCCAGGTTTTAATTAGCTGGGACTCAGAGACAAAACAGAGTCACAAAGCAGGATACAGAATCTGAGGAGAGCTGAACACTAGGTAACAGGTGGAGATGGGTCGGGAGGTGGGGTCCTTTCTGGCAGTAGGTAGTAGAAACCAGGCACAAGGACTGAGGTTCTGAGCTGGCCTCCACAGTCCTGGATGGACCCTGGTTCAAAAGGAAATAGAGTGCCAGGAGGGAACGTGTTTCATTTAGGGGGAGGTGGGGATAAGGAGCAGTTACAGCTACAGTCGGATCAACTGGCCGCAGCAACAGCCTGCATAGGGAGGACTCTGTGTCTGTCTCCAGGCTGGTGAATTCATTCCCGCCCCAAGCCCACAGGAGTAAATTCCCCAGCCCACCATCCCATCCCCTTGGGGTGCTGAGACGGGCTTTCCCAATGGCATCAGGCTCCCCATTGATGGACACGTGTTACGAGGAGCTCGCATTGCCCAGCTCTGCTCAAAGGATCCATTCACCCTTTCCCTGGAAAGGCCAACTAGGGCTTGGAAGAGGCGTGTTTATCCAGAGTTTTATTTCGCTCTGGTGCAAGGAGGCGATCCGAGGTGAACTCCATTATTCTCGTGTTACTGGATTCATGGGTCTCCAGACTAGTGTCGCCTAGCTCATCCTGGTCTACACTGGCTCTCGTTCCTCACAGCTAGACATACTCGTTGTTAATGGAGCTGGCAAGGAGCCTATTAGAGCAAGGCTGTGGATTCTTCTTACATGTTAAGCTGGCTTATCCCTTCCCAGAGCCGTGAAAAGTCTATATAGAATCTCAGAGTTGAATCTTAATGTTGGGTAAATCTTAGCATTGGATAAAATCTGAGAGGTCGTCTTGCCCAACATCCCAATTATAGCAGAAATTTCTCCTACAACTTCTAGGATAGGTTCAGGTGTTCATGGGACTGAGATGGATGGGTGAGGTGAAAGGTTGTAGGGAGATTGGGCCTTGTGATCCAGAGAGCATCGCCATCCTGGTGCTTAATAGGTACCATCTGGCCCTGGTTTCCCTTCACTTCCCTTCACGATCCTGCTGCAGAAGCCGTAGGCAATCGTGCCGTGCCAGTGGTGGCATCGGTGAATGAGAAGGAGACCTGTCTCACTTTGCTTGTGTTTCTGTTTCCAGACATTGATGAATGTCGCTATGGTTACTGCCAGCAGCTCTGTGCAAATGTTCCTGGATCCTATTCCTGTACATGCAACCCTGGTTTTACCCTCAATGAGGATGGAAGGTCTTGCCAAGGTATGTGACATGCGTGATAACTGGGACACGATGTGAAACACTAGCTGCAATCTTCTTCGGAACCTGACAACTGGTGTTTGTGGGAAGCACTGCTGTTAAAGTATGTTCCTGTCTGCTGTCATGGCTCACCCATCCCCCTCGCTTACAGAAACCTGAGACCTGGACTGAGGTTATGTGAGACATCTCAGAAGTGCTGTGGGTGTTGCCGAGGGTAGAATCACAATCACCCACCAGCTGGGAGCTTAGTGGTTTCATGGATTTGCTTCTTTTTCTGAGTCTGCTGTCCAGAAGTAGCTTTGCCTAATCAGAAGTTTTCTTGCATGTCTTGTAGCCTAAGTTCAATTCCTGAGGGCAAAAGGGGGGAGGTCAGAACCCCTGACCCTTGATGAATCATGAAATAAACACATATGCACTCTGCAGGGGGTTCACGAGCAATTTTGAGGCCTCTCACTACAGTTTTCCCTGCAGCCCTTGCCAGGAGGGCCTGTTACTTAGCAAAGAGTCTGGTGGGAGCGGCAACTTCCCCTACCATTCAGCATGCCCCACGAAGCCAGAATGACTCAAAGGCATTTTCTCACTTTCACGTGATTACTTCGAACACTGATAAGGAAGAAAAACAAGCTGCATGCCTCTTGTGCTTTCCATCTGAGGGTTTCTTCTGCTCAGGGAGTGAATGGGGGACTTAAGACCCTAGGAATCAGTGCAAGTCCTGCTCTGGCCCCCGGCTTACCCTCACCCCACCGCCCCCCAGCCCGGGCCTCCAGCCCCTGGCAGCGGTGTGGCCCAGGTTGGAGGCAGTGCCGAGACGCAGAATGAGGTCTTTGTCTGGAGACCTCAGGTTTTGCAGAGCCCATTTCCTTGTGACACCATTGGAGTTCTGGCCGGCAGGCTCCTGGCCAGCCAGTTGGAGGATATTATGTCTCCATTAGTTTAATCATATCTAAATTGTCGGGTAAACAGGAAGGCATCAGTGTTAAAGAGCTTGATCCTGAATTCTTTCTAAGTCTCTCCTCCGAAGCTGGTTCTGTTCATTGTTCCAAGAAGTCTTGACTGTGTTCCTCTTGCCAGGAGAGGTCATTTTCTTCTGAGAGCAGAGGCTGGGCCGGGAGGTTAAAGAAGCAGATAGAACAGAGCAGATAGAACTCCCCCTTTAGCAGGGAGCAGACACTTGGCTCCCTTGCTGTGGTAAGTGGCTTGGGGCAGATGCAAGTGGCTCTGTGCCAAGGCCTGGGGTTGGGGTGCCAGCCCAGATTTTCCCTCAGAGGCTGGCACAGTGCACCCAGTACCTCCTGAGGCACAGCCATGCCCAGCAGAGCCAAAAGGCGCCAGTGTCCTTTAGGCCTCTCAGGGACAGCTCTGTGACAAAGAGCAGATAATACACCTGGCAGTGCCAAGTCAAGCAGTGTGAGAAAACAGCAGGCACAGCACCCAGGCCTGGACACGGGCATTTGGCCACTGGGATATTGCATCAGCAGGGCCCGTGGGCAACACAGGATGTTACGTTCTCCGTCACGCTTTTGCAATCCTCACCTCATGCGTGGAAGAGTCCTTTGCCCTCTTCAAAGCATTGTCGCGTCTGTTCATCTCACTGAACCCCAACGATAGCCTTACGAGATAGGCAGGCAGGTGTTTGTGGTCCTGCTTCACAGATAAGGAAATCAAGGCTCAAAAAGGTTAAGCAGCTTGGCCAAAGTCACGCAGCCGGGTGGTGGCAGAGCTGAGAGCAAGGGCCCAGCCTTCCTGTCCAGCAAGTCAGAGTGGGCCACCGGCTGATCTCAGAGGCTTCAGAGGGGTATTTGGAGAGGGCTGGCAGGAAGGCACAGCAAGAGTCCCAGGGGGTGGAATCCCTTTGGTCCTCCTGGTCTCCAGGAGGGCGGGACTTGAGCTCATCATCTCTGTGTGGCCAGTGTCTGGCCAGAGGCCGAGGGTGCCGGTCCTAATTCTCACCAGCGCCGTGCCGTCAGAACCTGCGCTCTGGCCAGCACCAGGGGTATTTTCCTGCCCGCCCCTGCCTCGCGTGGAGAAACCCCAATCCCCATGGGCGCCAGGGGAGGCTGGTGTCTCGCCGGACCCTCCCCACAGGGCTGTTCATTAATGTATCTGTTTTCCACCGGAGAGCTCCAAAGCCACCAGGAAGCAGGAGCTTTGTGGGCACGGGATTAGCCCTCCCCTTGAAGCAAAGCCTCTCCAGCTGCTACCCCTGAAGGTTTCTAACTCTGAAAGTGCTCGAATCTCTATTCAGAGTCTGAAGAGGTTTACCTGGACTTTTGGAGAGGGTAGAAAATCTCTCAGCTGGAACTTTGGCCATTTGCATGTGAAGCGTGGGAGAGGGGGTGCTTACAGTGGATAAAGGGGTTCTTCCCCCACCCCCCAGTGAGCTGTATGGAATGAATCCTGGGTATCGTGGGAAGACCCCTGACTCATGTTCCAGTTCCACCTGTGCCCTTGTTAGCTTGTGCACTTGGGTACCTCTCTCATTCTTCAAAAATGTTGAACAACTTCCTTGGTGTATAATCGATGTACTATACCCTGTACTATCATAGGTCCATAATTTCGTTAATTTAGACATATGTATACCCCCATGAAACTACCGCCACGCTCAAGATAATGAATGTCCCATTACTCCTTGTGCCCCGGATGCTCTTCTCAATCTGTTTAACCTGTAAAAGGGGGCAATGGTCCTGAGGCAGGGTTGTAAGGATTGAGTGAGTGTGAGATCCTTTTATAATTAGTGAAGTTATTCATGCATAACAAATGTTACTAAAATGGTCATGGTTATTTGTTTCCCTAAAACTGCAAAGTCAGTGAGGGCATGAGAAGAGCTAATTGGTGGTGGAATGAGCAGGTGATGGGGGGAGCAGGGGTTGCCTGGACGTTCCTGTTGGTGAGCCTTGGGCGGTAGACTTACTAGCAGGTGTACATGTGTATACATGTATACATGTATGTGCAGTGTGTGTGGACTTGTTGCTTCCCCACTCCTGACTCTCGGCCCCGGAAGGGACATGTGGCTGGAGGCCCTGGTCCTTCAGTGAACATTTTGGGGTCTGAGATCTGGATCTGACAGGTTCTGGGTGGAGATCCTTGGTATCTGTGAATCCAGCCTCCCGGTGGTAGCAGATCTTTTTGCCGGTGCATTTTTCTGCCTGTTGTGAGGATGGTTGGTGACGTGCTCTGACTTTCCGCAGATGTGAACGAGTGTGCAACTGAGAACCCCTGCGTGCAAACCTGCGTCAACTCCTACGGCTCTTTCATCTGCCGCTGTGACCCAGGATATGAACTTGAGGACGACGGTGTCCACTGCAGTGGTATGGGCCTTGGCACTGGAGCCTTCCACCTGTCCGAGGGGCCTGGGAAGGGGTAGAGGGCAAGGGCTCCCCTCACAGGTGTTTCCTCTCATTTCCTGGACACATGTGGGACATTTCCCAGTGTGGGACATTTCCCAGTGCAATGGAGTCACAACCACACAGAACAGAGATGAGTCACTTCCTGAGCGGTAAGGTGGAGTATCACCTACCTTGTCATCTGAACCCTAATGCAAAAATCACTGGAGCTACCCTCTAGGGCCTGAGAAGGGGTTGATGAGGGAGAAGAGTCACCCAATTTTGCAGGTTGGTTTGAGAGTTATCTGTCCTCACCCAGAACGGACTCAAGTCCTGGGGATATCACAGACACTATTGACAGAGGGCAGTGACCCAGGATAACAGCACATCTCATCAGGTGGCGGGGGCGGGGGGGAGTGAATGAGATCATGTATGCAAGCGCACATACTTTGTGAATTCTGAAATCTCTGCAAATAATCAGTGTCTAGCTCCAGGCCTGGCACAGACTGAGCATGCAAAAAGTAGTTCTTGAATCAAAGGATGAATGATTGAGTGTTGAATAAATGAAACCATAATAATTTGTTGTGAGAACATAGATGTGGTGGCTTAGTTGGCCTCCTATAAATTCCTTCCAAGCCCAAGGAACTATGATTCTCTGTCCGTGCTGGTTTGTCGATTCTAATATAGTTTTCTTATTAACCCCCTCTTTTTTTCCCCCAGAAGGTTAAATTTTATTTTCCTAGATAGTTAGAAAACTATAACTAAACTATTCTCAAAGTTCTTGAGAGAGGAACCACATCTTACTCATATTTCTCTCTGTAGCATCCCCCATAAAGCCATGTACAACTCCTTTCTGTCATTCTCTCAATATTTCTCTTTCTTTATTTCCTTGTTTTTTGTGAATGTTGAATTAAAGTAAACTCCATTTTATTCACTTTTGGCATCATCAGCAGTTGCGAATTAGCAAAGTCCAAATTAATAATGCTTCACTGTATTTTTTAAAATAAGTGGGCCATACACTAGGGTGTGAAAATCTTTTTGTCCTGCAGAATGGAAAGTTTCCTAATCCTGGGTTTCATGGTAACAGGAACTGACCCATGTCATGAACGAGACTTGTGTGATCGCTTCACTTAGGACTGGAGTGTTCTGGGGACAGAGTTCCCTGAAACAAATGAACATTCTCCCTAGGGCCAAGAGAGTCAGAACCACAAGCAGGCAGTTACAGAGAGCCTTAGACTGATTAAATATCAGTCTCAGAAACAGAAATAAAATACCTTCAGGCATGAAAAGCCACTTTCTTCCTCGATTTCAGTTCCCTCCTTGGCAGTCCTTGGGGAATCCGAGCCAAGGAACTGAGAGGTGTGGAAAATTTAGCATTATGTGATGGGATTATTTGTTTCTCTAGAATTCCCTGCTAATCCATGGGTGTTCATTGGCCATGCGCAGAGGCAGTATGGTAGAGTGACTTGGAAGCCAGACGGAGCTGAGTTCAAATTCTGACTCTACTGTTTACTACTTTCCTTGGCCAAGTCAAGAGCCTCAGTTCCATTCTTTGTTAAAAAAAATCAACCAACCAACCAACCACCCTCATAGAGTGGTCATAAAAATTAACCAAGCTAGTGTACCTAAATGTCATTACATGTGAATTCATCTTCCCTAAGTGTAAGAGACTTTTGGCTTCTGAAGGAGCTTAAATCCTTACTGATTTGGCAAGGATTGTTAGTTAACTCAGTTTACCCCAAATGGCCAACTTGTCCTCCATGTTCACCATGTTGTCCACATTCTGTAAGACTCAGCACGACTCCTGGATACTGCAGGCTTTCTAGGGAGGGCTGGCCCAGAATAATGGTGTGATACAGGAGAGCTTGTTTTCTGCACCTTCCTACCCACCCGCTTTCTGTGCATCTCCATTTTCCCCGACACTGTTATCCTCACGGTGTTATCACAGCTGGAGTGGCCCCTGTGTGCAGCCCCAGACCCTTCCTAGCCTTGTCCCCTCATCCCTCGGGGATGTGATAAGCTGAGCTGATCCTGGAAACCGCAGTGGGTTTTCATGTGGAGGAGTGAAAATGGCCTAATGTGTGCTCCCTGCCAGAAACTGGGCTTGTATTTCAGCCTTCCAGTAGAGGCTAGAGCCACAGCCCTAAGTGAAGGCTGGGGATTGCAGACCCAAAGATGGACTGAGTGGGGTCTGTTACAGCCCCTCCCTGCCCAGTGGGAGTGGGAGTGGGGGTGACCCTCTCCATGTGCCCTGGGGCTAACCCTGCTTGGGGGATTGCCCCAACCTCAGGACTCCCCAGACCCACTGATTTTAAGTCCTGAGCCTAATTCCTCAGGGAGACATTACAGCGCCGTGTTTACAAGTGCAGGATCTAAAGGCTGGCTGGGTTCAAGTCCAGCTCTCCTACTTACGCGTTATCTGTGAACTCGGTCAAATTGCCTAACCTCTGTGAGCCTCAATTTTTCTTCTGTAAAATGTGGGGAGTAATAGCACCTCCTTCATAGGGTTAGGGTGGGGATTAAATAAGATGAGTAAAACATTTAACTCAGTGCTTGGCACGGAGTGAGCCTGAGGAATTGGCAGGTGTCACTGCTACTTCTGCGAAAGGTATGAATGGGACCCACAAACTTAGAAGTAAACTAGGACGCTCTCCGTTATGCTGGGCTGGGGCCGGAGACCTGGGGCTCTCCAAAGCTCCTGGGGGACAGGGAGGGGGCATCACAGAAGCCGATACTGCCAGAGCACGCTTGCTCTTCAAATCGCCATCCTAATTCTGCTGCCTCATGACCCATCGCCCAAAGACCACTGAGAGACGGCGGTGTTAGGCATGTAATAGCTGGCATCATCCCATGGGGGAGAAGCAGGCTGGTTTGCACCGACACCCTCTCTGGGTGATTGCAGCCACCAGTGGTCTGTGAGTTCGAGAGTAATCCGAGGACATGTCACATGGGGAAACTAGTGAAAGCAAGTTTTTGGGAAACAACAAATGCGAGAAAAACATGTTTTCTTTGGCGTGCTTATTGAATGAGGCTCGGACGGGGGCTCCGTTGCCAAACTGTGTGTGTGTGATGAAGAGCTGCTTTTCTGGAAGTCTGCTTCTGCATCAACTGCCACAGCCTGTGCGAACAAGTCGTAAATCACATGGACAGCGGCTCCCCCTCCGCATCCCAGCTCTGCAGACAGAGGGTGGCCCTGCTCCAGGCTGGCTGGGAGCTGCTGCTCCCATGGCCCAGGGAGGATCCGAGGCAGGCGGGCCGCAGAGACGATCTGCCTGTCCACCCCATGCCACTCCAGAATTTTCTCTTTCAGGGAGATTTTTTGGCACAATGAAGTTTTAATATAATTAATACCACGGCCTTCTGGATATGTCCCTCTGAGTTGTGATTTTAGGAACAATATTGTGGTTCAACTTGGTGGGCTGGGAGAGGAGTGTTTGGAGGGGAGTGGACACTGCTAAAGTTGCCCCTTCAGAAGACCAGGGCCTGGGAATGTGTTTTGGGTCTTAGGGAAGAGCTCTGTACCCAGAAAACTCCAGTGGGAAAGCAAATGTGGGCCCCGCGGGCAGGTCAGAGGAGGAGGGTGGATTCACCTACAGGGTAAAACAAGTCAATGATGAGTAGAACTGCAGCCGAACTGGAGGCAGAGGCTGTTGAAAGCTTGTTGGAGGTGCATTCAGCTCTGTGTAGGAAAGACTGTTCTGACTATTAGAGTTGTCCAAATATCCTTGGGTGTCCTCAATAGGTAGTGAGCACCCCATCACCAGAAGTGTTTAAGAAGCAAATCAACAATTTCTTGGCAGTAAAGCCATCGTATGTATCAGGAGGGGGCAGGACCACTAAGTTCCCATCCCCACATCATCTGTGATTATAAACAGCAGGTGTAACTTGTCACCTTCAGATATGGACGAGTGCAGCTTCTCTGAGTTTCTCTGCCAACATGAGTGTGTGAACCAGCCTGGCACGTACTTCTGCTCCTGCCCCCCGGGTTACATCTTGCTGGATGACAACCGAAGCTGCCAGGGTAAGGCTGTCTGGAGGGGCCTGGCTGGGGGAGGTGAGGTGGGGCTGACTCAGGGGGTCGTCTGACGTCTTCACCTGGGGAATCCTGTGCAGCTTCAGGAGGATGGCAGGGGTGAGGGTGTGCGTGGGTGCTGGCGGCCCCCAGAGAGGCAGCCCTGGGCAGGATGCCTCGGTGGGTGTCTTCCCTCCCTGTGAGCTGTCCTTTGGCCAGGACATGGGCCACTCATATTTCCGTAAGGAACTCTGCGGATGCCGTGGTACCCTCTAAAGGGTGGCTTCCTGCCTCTTCAGACAGATCTCTGTGGCCCCTCCGAGGACCGCTCCAGATGCAACCAGGACTTTGTGGCCTGGCCCTGCTCAAGGACCAGAGCCCAGGCTTTCTCATGGGTCCTGGGGGGCAGCTTGGCCAGCCTTCCTCCACTGACTTCCTAGAGAATGGTTGCCAGGGAGACCTCATGCAGCTGACTGCTCTGTCCCTCCAAGGGTGGGGTCCCAGGCTATGAAAGAAATGGGTCTTTCTCACATTGGCTGCTTGGCCTGATTTCTAGCCCATGCTCCCCGCACTGGGGGGTTAGTGCAGGGAGTGACTGACCCAATCTCAGCCTCCTTGAAACCTGCCCTGTCCCGACACCAGGCAGGAATTCTCCATACCAGTGCTGGGCAATGGAAGCATCATGTGAGCTACCGCCGTGAGCCATCTGTGTAACTTTACATTTTCTAGTAGCCACATTAAAAGAGTAAAAAGAAATGGGTAAAATTACTTTTCATACCGTATTTTATTTAATGCCATATATCAAAAATAGTATTATTTCAGTATGTACTCAATATAAAAATTATCGGGGGGGCGGGGGGGTAAGGGCAACATACGTAACCTAAACATCTGTACCCCCATAATATCCTGAAATAAAAATAAAAAATAAAAGAAATGAGCCACTAAGTTCTGCTCATATTCAGGTTAGGTGGATTAGAAGGGAATTAGATTTTACCTCTTGGTGACAGGAACATCAAAAATTTGCAGGCGTATTCTAAAACCACTGCAGTGCTCCTCTGTGTATTACCTCCCTGAATCTTAGCCCTTAATCACATTGTATTTCCATCGGCTTGTCTGTCTTCCTCTCCCAGCGATTCTTAATATAGGGATTTCAGGGATAGAATTCAGAAGGTGTATGAACTTAAATAGGAAAAAGTTTACGAACAGTTATTTTCATTGAGTTCTAAGTCTAATTTAGCATTTCCTTGATAACGAAAGTTGGCAATAAACCATGTAGTGGCAGAAGTACCTGTAACTTTGCCACTGAAGAAAGAAGCCACAGTTATTTTCCCACTATGTTACAGCAGCCACGGCTCCCCAGAGAGATCATTCACCTCACCATTACGTCGGAATTACCGTAGTGATTAAACCTCATTCTGGACCTTATTTGATGTATTAATAAAGAAGCACATTTGGTAAAAAATATATATATATATATAAAAATTATCAATTAGATGTTTTACATTTTTTTGTACTAAGTTGTCAAAATCTGGTGTGTATTTTCTGCTTATGACACATCTCAATTTGGACGAAGCACATTTCAAGTGCTCAGTAGCCACGTGTGGCCAGTGGCCATCATACTGGATGGTGCAGCTCTGTAGGAAGACCCAGGCAGCCCCCACTCCCACCCCACCCCCACACACCTGGCCCGGGGCCAACACCTTGGACCTGCTGCGCTGCCTCAGCTTCTCGTCTACCCTGCATTTCAGACATCAACGAGTGTGAGCACAGAAACCACACGTGCAACCTGCAGCAGACTTGCTACAATTTGCAAGGGGGCTTCAAATGCATCGACCCTATCCGCTGCGAGGAGCCGTATCTGAGGATCAGTGATAAGTAAGTCATGGCTTCCCCTCAGGAAATGGGAACATGGGTGAGGGGTGAAGCTCAGGCAATTTCTCCCCAAATTATGACTCCTTGGAATAAAGAGTATTTTGAATTAATGCGAAGGGACTTTCTCCTGGCTCAAGAGGCTGGCAGTGTGGGGTAGAGGAGAATCACCAGCCAGGAAATCAGGACACCTGGCCTGCTACCCACTGCACGTGCTGGAGTGTGCGTGTGTGTGTGCGTGTGTGTGTGGAGGGGGGGACAGAACAGAGTAGACTAGAACAGACTGGAATAGAAAATATCAGAGTACATTGCACATAGCAAGAGTCAATTTGGTTTTTTGAAACTTTTATTTCAGTTATCTGTGTGTGTACTGGTTTGCAGCACAAAATGTGTTATTGTGGGTTGTTGTCAAAAAAGTGTGCAAAACATTGTGTTATAAGTTATAAGATCTGAAACACATCCCTACCTGCAATAAAGAAGTATTTTTCTAAATGTTTGACCACAACATTCAGAAAGAAACACATACACACACACACACACACACACACACACACACACACACACACACACACACACACACACACAGTGTTCTCTGTTACTCCCCGACTCACACCAGAGCTTTACGAAGCTTCTCTAGGAAGCTAGCCAAGAGGAGAGTCAGGGCTCTTGAACCGCCTCTCCCCTTTAATGACTTTATTCTGGATACACAGGGTCTTTTAAAGCTGGGCTCCTCAAATGTGACACACATAGGACTCACCCAGGGATCTTGTTAGGGTGCTGGTTTCGATTCAGTGGGTCGGGGTGGGGCCGGAGAGTCTGCCTTTCTGGCAAGCTCCCAGGTGGAATGAACGCTTCCTTGGGCTGCTCTGTGAATAGTGAGGTGCTGGCGAGTTCTCAATACTGAGGGTATTTATTTTGCTCTAATCAAGTTTCTTGACATCATCATGGCCAACATTTGATTAAATCACCAGATGGCAAATATTAGAGCTGAGGGGAGAATTGAAGTGAAGACAACTTCTGCAAGGTGAATGGTCTAGGACAGTGGTTTCTGTTCCTGGCAAACTAGGAGCTCCTTTTCCTTCTCTTTTAGGCTTTTATTTAACCATCTCAGCTCCTCCTTGGCCTCTATACACGCACACACACACACACACACACACACACACACACACACACAAGCGAACGTACATCGCTGCCCACCTCTCTCCCAGCAGTTGCCCCAGGCCCTAGCACTGGAGATAAAAGGCTAAACCAGACACACCCACCTTGCCCTCAAGGAACGCAACCTCTAAGAAAGGAATTCATGGCTTACCAGTATGGTTTCCACTCTGATCAAAAATTGGCAACAGAGAGGACAAAGCTGGGACCAGCGGGTCCTTTAGAGAGGTTGTCACTTGTTCCCAAGAGCTGTGCTTCTAAGCAACCCTTTAGAAAGGGCTCTGACTCCTGGTTCAAGGGCCCTTTGCGGCAGAGCAGAGCTGCAGGCGGCTCTTCCTGGCTTCTCTCCCCCATTCTCTCTGGGTTTCTCCAGGCCACCCCTGTCTGTGGCCAGGGTGCTGGCCCAGTTCAACTCACAGCACGGAGCTGGTGTAACCAGTGACATCTCTGGCATGACGCTGAAAAGGCTTGGCGACTCTGTCCCTCCAGACCCCAGGCGCCCCCTTCCTGCTCCTGGTCCTGTTCCGGTGTCCTGCACTCCTGCCAGCCTGAACAGGACTTGCTCTCACCTCTGCCCATGCTCCAGAATGCGCAGCCTCCCTGCTTTTGTGCACACACTTCCTGCCACATGGAAGGCGTTCCTTCCATCGCCATGTAGCCGGAGCCGCCCGCCTTCCAGACTTCGGTTCAGATGCCACCTCTCCCAGCTGTTTGTCATCCTCTTCGGCTGGGAGCCATCACTCGCTCCTCCAAACTTCTTTTAGGAAACAATGATTTTCTGCGTGACACGTGACATTTTAATGTGGTCATTTTGGTGCCAGAGACATCGTGACTTGGCTATTTTGATGTGGCCTTAAAAAATGAAACTTTAAAACTTCTTTGTATTCATTCATTTGTTAAATGTTAGCCAAGCCCCTGTTGTGTGCTGGGTGCTGTGATTTTTGCTTTTATGGAGCTTAGTGTCCAGAGGAGGAGGAAGACATTAAACAAATTGTCATACGAATGAATCCACACTCATGGATTGTGATAGGTGCTATCGACAGGAAGAATGAAAATGCATATCAAGAAAGAGCAGGCTGGACCTGGTCTAGACTAGAGAGTCCAAAGGCTTCTCTGAGGAAATGACATTTGGGCTGGAATGACAGGGTGAGTCGACTTTAACTAAATAGAAAGTGGAAGAGCAGAGGGAACAGCATGTGCAAAGGCTCTAAGGCAAGAGTGACCTTGATGCCTTCGGGGAATGGAAGAAGCCTGAGTTGCTGCAGCCTGGTGAGTGCAGTGGAGAGTGGCCTAAGAGGAGGTTAGGGAGCTTGACAGAGGCCAGACCCCATGGGGTCCTAGAGGCTAAAGTGGGTGTTTAGTTTTTGTTTAAGTCACAATGTGTGGCCACTGAAGAGTCTTAAGCAGTGGAGAGGCCTAATCTGATTTATGTTTGACAAAGGGCACCCTGACCCCCTAGGAGGCCATCGCAGAGGTCCAGGTGAGAGAGGATGGTGGCCTGGACAACCTTGGCAATGACAATGGAGATGGCAAGAGTGTGAGAGTGGTTGGATTTGGAATCTACTTTGGAAGTAGGACCAACAGGTTTTGTGGCTAGATTGGAAGTTGGGGGGAGAGCAGCAGAAACACGGCCACGCTGACTCCCAGCGTTGGCCACCGAGGCATTTATCAACAGATGTCCTCATCCTACTGTGCACTCTGACCCCTAGGTGGTGTTTAGGGGATGAGGTGCTTTGTATTAGAGATGTTTGTGTCTATGATTTATTTATTTCTCCTATTAGAAGGTGAACTGTTAATATTGGAGATCAAGGTCTTATTTATCACTGAATTTCCAAAGTGTCTAATGAATGTCTTGTACATAGTAAGTTCCGAGCTTGTTTATTCAATTGTATTCCACACAGACTGAGATAAGTGCAATAGAGAACGTAAAATGATCCCCTAGACACGTCAATCTCATATCAATTTCTCACTTTTAAAATCTCTTAATGAGTGTCTATGGCTGAAGAAGTGAAGGGCTATGTGACCATTGGTACATTTTGCTGCCTAAATACATGACAAATATAAATTGCATTAGAGAATGTTCCAGTGTTCTGAAAACCAGAGATCTAAGGTTTGTGCTCTATCTAGTAGCCAGAAAGTCTGAATGGTGAGAAAAGACCATTCTCTAGGAAACAGAGAGCTCCCCTACATGCTGGAGAGTTTTTAGACTAGAGCCAGGAGCAGAGACAGTCTATAGTTACAGCATTTGGATGATAAAAATGGGATGGCCTCATTTTCAGTGTTTTAAGAGAAGCAGCAGGCACAGCCAGCACGTGGAAAGGATTTACTGAGTTCTTACATGATTTCTCCTCTTCCAGCCGCTGTATGTGTCCTGCTGAGAATCCTGGCTGCAGAGACCAGCCCTTCACCATCTTGTACCGGGACATGGACGTGGTATCAGGACGTTCCGTTCCCGCTGACATCTTCCAAATGCAAGCGACGACCCGCTACCCCGGGGCCTATTACATTTTCCAGATCAAATCTGGGAATGAGGGCAGAGAATTCTACATGCGGGTAAGAAGAGGGAGGGTGAGCAGGGGTCCCCATCTTTATCAGTGGCCTTGTGTTGTCTCTCCTAGGAACATGCTTCACGGACAGAGGTAAGAGTGCAGCCAGGAGGGACAGGTGTGAAGAGAGCAGAGTGAAGGGGTGGTCTGAGGTCCTGGTTTCCACTGTTTTCCGTGTGGCCTTGCAAAAGTTGCTTTTCCCTGGCAAGCCTCGGGACCCTCATGTGTGAAAGAAGTTAGGCCGAGATGCAGTCTTAGGTCTCTTCTAACATTCTGTGGGAGAGGCATTCACGTCTCCATTTATCCACCCACCCATCTGACAAATATTTACTAAGTACCTATGATGCATTTCTAGAAACTGAAGCTATATAATAGCAGTGAAGAAAACATCCCAAATCCTTGCTCCCGTGGTGCTTACGTTCCGGCGAATGTAAAGGCATGGCCACGGAAGTGGCTTTATCAGCATCGGCCAACACAGTAGCCGTAGTGCTTCTTTAAATCTAAATGAATTAAATAAAATTTAAAATACAATTAGGCTGGTCTGAAAGTAGTGAGTTATCTCGATTGATTGTTCAGAGTCAGTCACAGATCGAACTCCTTGTTCTACTCTTTCCCCACTTCTCACTACTGCTCTTGACTAGTCTTAAAAAAAAAAAAAATTAAAAAAATAAAAGTAAAAAGTTCTTCCATGGCACTAGCCGTACTTCAGGGGCTCAATAACCACATGTGGCTACTGCATGAGACAGCCCAGACACAGAACGTGTCTGTCGAGTGGTCAGCACTGATTATCCGTATCAGTAGAGAGTGTTAAAGCACACATCCTAAAATATATTTCCTTTCTTTGTAACTTGCATACATGTAGTACCGTGCCATTTATATTATGAGCTTCATATCCTGCAACTTCCAGGGTGATCACCCCTCTTTAGAGACCGCTGGCTTAGAGCATTGTCTCTCACATTTCAGCATGAATTTGGGCGCTTGTCCAAAGAGCAGATTCCAGAGAATCTATTTTAGAAGATGATAAGTGAGGCCCAGTTTCCTGAGGCTGCTGTAACAGATACCACAACTTGGTGGCTTAAGACAATGGAAATTTATTCTCTCATAGTTCTAGAAGCCAAAAGCCTGAAATCAGCTTCACTGAGCTGAAATCAAGGTGCTGGCAGGGCTGTGCTTCCTCCAGAGGCTCCAGGGGAGAATCTGTTCCTTGCTTCTTCTAGCTTCTGGGGGCTGCCAGCACTTCTTGACCGTGGCTGCGTAACTCCAACATGTGCCTCTGTGGTCTCATGGCCTCCTTCTCTTCTGTGTGCATCAAATCTCCCTCTGCCTCTGCCTCCCTCTTATAATGACACTTGGGATTAGATTTAGGGTCCATCCAGATAATCCCCCTGTGTCCAGATCCCTGATCACATCTGCAAAACCTGTTTTTCCTTAAAGGTAACATTTACAGGTTCTAAGGACTAGGACCTGAGTATCTCTGGGGGCTGTTACTCAGCCTGCTGTACCCAGGAATCTGCATTTCTAGCAGATACTGCATGTGATCCTCCAGGGTCACCGTGGGGAGCTCTACTCACAGGATAGGCCCATGGAAGTTTACCTGCTTCTATCAGAGACCAGCCCAAGGGCCAATGAAAGAACCACATATCTGAACTCTCTAGGGCCTCTCTCCCTATACCTTGGCACAATCTTTCAATCCTTGCCGCTGGGGCTGGAATGGTCTAAAAACAGGGAAGTCTCACAAGCAGCAGTTAGAACAGATTAGAAAAGGCCCCAGAGACTGGTATATCCTCAGTAATGTATTTTTGGCAAGACCCGAACAGAACCAGGTCACATGTGATAACACAATCTGGAGTGTAGACTTGGTTCTGTAGACCAGCATAGCAGGATAAGGGGCTTTGGAAGAAGCTGGAATGAGTAGGGTAGAGGAGCTTTCACAAGGTGAAAAAGATGGAGCTGTGTTGTTGTCTATCCTTTCCCCAAACCCATAAGCACTGGCTGTCCAGCAGAAACCCAATCTGGGAAGCTTCTGTGGGCTTGCTATAAGCCCAGGCCACTGGCATGCTCCCATCTGGCCTCTCCATCTGTACAGACACAGTGGGTCCCAACAGTAGGATGCAAAGATGCCCCTCTTAGGGACTTATTATAAAATACCATCACTGCTACCATCTGCCACTGGTTTTTTCCCCGCTGAGCAGGGCAAAGATCTGCAGAGGGTGGCCTTGTCTGGGCACAATTTCACTGATCCACCTGTGTTTAGTGGGATAGCGCCCACTAAAATCTGCCTAGACCCAAACATTCCCTGTGGCGGCTGACTTGCGAGAGGCACCCAGTGATGGTCGGGGAAGGGGATTGTCCTACAGGTGGAGCAGACAGGAGGGGGACCCCCTACGTGGAAACTTTCTCTAGTGCTCAGATCGTCGCAGCAACTTGGAGACCCTTGAAACTCAGCGCTTTGAGCTGTACGTGGCTTGTGCCCTCTCTGAGAATGTTGAAAAGGGCCTAATGATTTAGTATTTCTTTGGAAGAGGATGTCAGGACGCTGAGGGAACAAAGGGACATAGGTAGGCCTAGCACGAGAATGGTTGAAGGAACTTAAGGATGGGGGAGGTGGCTGCTGGCTTGAAAGGTCCCAAGAGCTACCCCTGGGAAGAGATAAGGGGCTTGGGTGGGGGCCCGTGAAGCCTTGAGGCACGGGGGCAGGAAGACAGACACCAGCAGATAAGGCAGGACTTTTGGGTGTCCCAACTGTCCAAAGCTGCAGGACCCTCCCCGGGAGGCCACTCCTAGTTGTGCTAACAAGGGCTCCGGAGCCAGGCTGACCTGTTTCACTTTGCATTCTACAGTTTACCAGACCTGGGGTCATGTAACCTCCTGGGCCTCAGTGTCCTCATCTGTAAAGAGAATATAATAACAGTATTTACTTTAGGATTAGATCATCTACTTAGCACAGCACCTGGAACACAGAATGACTGTTTTTATCAAACAAGCGGGCTTTGGTGGGGGTGCTTTATTTTCCCCACCCTGCTGGTTCAAACCTGTGCACAGCTGGGTGACATCTCAGGTTGATCCCACAGGATTCACAGACACATTCAGTTACTATTGGATCGTCTCCTGTCATGTCGGAAACCCATGCTGGTTTAAATGGAAATGTCAGCCTCTCAGCCTCTCGTTCAATGTAAAGTTCCTCCCTTTCCCCTGCTTCAGAGCAGGGAAGGGGTGTGGTTGGCCTTTGTACTGCCCTCTTCTTGGCCTCCCAGCAATGACAGTGCTGGCTCTGGCTCCTCCAGGGGTGGGGGTAGGGGTGCAGGCATGAGGTTGGGAGGGCCAGGGTCTTCCTCGATCGTTGCCATAGTAACCAGGCGTTGGCACACTCTCTGGGGTAGAGACCCAAAAGTTTTTGCTTTCACAGGATGCTTTTGTGGGTTTTTTGGAGCTTTGCCTGAGGACTTGGCCCTGACCAGTCCCTGACGTGGGCAGTAGGGCCTGTCATTGACCAATTGTCACCCCAAACCTCTCTGCCCCTATTTCTGGCACTGTGTCCCACACAGACTTTCCGTCGTGGTACTGGGGGGAATGTCACTGCATCCTGGCAGGCTCACCTTACACAAGGGTCTTTCAGGACACCAACGTCAGCTCCCCTGCAGTCCCCTCTCCTCACCATGGCGTGGAGCAGCTCTGGGCTCTCATCTCTAGACTTCTCCAGGAGAGAGACCGGTAGCACTGTGCATCCTTGAACTTAAGGGGTCTTACATCTCTGAACAGTTCTCTTGAAATCCCCTCTTGATTGAGGTGGAAGCTGGTAAGTGCATTTAATGAAACGTATGTAGGCTGGAGGTGGTGACAGAGCGAGGGAAACAGATCTGGCTTTAGATCGCCACTTTACACATCCTTGTATCCCCAATAATCACTACACTCAAAGCATCAGCAGCGAGTCGTATATATATGGTTGACACGTGCCAGACACTATTCTAGGTGCTTTCCAGATAGCAATTTTTTAAATCTTCACAACGGTCCTATGATATAGGATTGTTTTATCATCCCAGCCTTGCAGACGAGAGGCTAAGCAACCTGCCCAACTAGTCTCGCAGGTAATAAGCACCAGAGCAAGACTTGAACCTGGGCAATCTGGCACTAAAATCTGTGCTCTTGCATTTCTCTTTAGACTATAGGGTATTTTGACCTATTTTTCCAGCTCTGGGGCCTCAGCAGAAACTGAGATAACAAGAAAAGTCTACTTTAACATTCAGTGACAATAGAAGGTATTCAATAACTGTTAGTTATTATTGTATAGATCCTGCTGTTGCCACTGCTACTGCTGCTGCTACTGTTGGCAGGAGGCTGTGAGCTCCTGGGCCTTGGAAAAGTTGGGAATGCTACCCAGGGGGCTGGATCATCATGTGGGAGCTCGGGCTGGACAGCCACTCAGGCTTTCCTACCCTGAGAGTCACTGATTGGATTATAAGCCCTGGAAGGAGCTTCATCTCACCCAGCAGGCAAAGCACACACACCCGCGTGCACACACACACACACACACACATGCATACACATATACGCGCACACACACATGCCCTGTTCACAGCCTTGTTGGCTATTTCTCTCACTGAGCCCTGGGCAGAGGACTGGTGATTGGCTCTGGCTGGGAGGTTCAGGGACACAATTAGGGCCAGAAGGGGCATGGTCATGGGGTTCAGACTGTGCCAAAGTGCATTTACTCCATGACACACGTGGATCAAATGGCAGGGCCAGGGGAAGCTGACTTGCCACAGCCTGGCTGCTTGCCACATTCAGAAAATGCCATCCCACAAGTTGACTCAGAACAAAGCTGAGTGTGTGGGATCAGGGCCAAGAAGACATATGGCTGGTGGGCTGTTTGCAGCCGATTCTCACTGTGGTCAGCTCCACTGGCTGTGTCATTCGTACTCATTCTTGCGTCACCAACGTTTATTTAGCACCATTATATATGTGGCTTCAAGTCAGGCACTGAGAGTCCCTAAACAAGCAGGATGTGGCTTCTGCCCTTGAGGAACCCACACACACTATAGTGGGGAGGGTGACAAACAGCCCGGGGAACACAACACAAAGTGATTCTCAAGTCAAGTTCAGCGGGAGGGTAAGGAAGTGGAGAGGTGCTGAGACCTCGTCATAGAGGGCAGTGGTTTGAAGCATGAGTTTTGAAGTCAGATATTCTAATGCCATGCGCTAGTTTTGTGACCTTCTGTAGTATCCTTACCATACTTACAGTGTAGGTTTATGAGGATTAAATAAGAGACGTGTGAAAGGTTGTAGGCAAATGCTTAGTGTCATAACCATCACCACCATCACCATCACCATCCTCCTCTTCCTCATCATTTTGCACCGGTGACCACCAAGGCCACCAGTGCCCAGGGGCTCTCGGAAGGCCTATTTCATTAATGCCCTGACTCTGCCCTGAAAGTTGAATGTGCAGTGGGAGGTGGCCGTCCTCAGCTCCCCCAGCAGGCACTTGAGCCCTCCCAGGCATTTATGGGTAGGCCTTTCTCAGGATGCTGACCCAGGTGAAGACTGAGCTCGCCAACTTTTAAGGTTACTTCCAAATGGGAGAGTCCAGGATTCTTTCATACTCTGGAGACGTTTACCAGGAAAGCCCAAAGGAACAACTTGGAAGTTTCCATGTGCTACCTTCCCCCTTCCAGACCTTGGGCTCTGCAGATCTCTCTCCAGAGGGGTGCCCACAGCTCAGAGTCCTCAACTCACGGCTTTTGTTCATGCAAACAGCGAAAGCTGACAAGGTATTTGTATATGTAAATGCCACAGGCATTTTCCTGTGTGGCTGTACCCTCTGAAGTCCTGGCCCAGGGCTCTGAAGTTTTGCAAGGGCTCACGAGGAAGTTGGAGCAATCCTCTGCATGAGGAGGTGCCAGTTACGTGAATGCTGACGGGAACAGAAGGAGCCAATGCCAAGAGGAAATTGTGTGGCTGTCAGGTTGCTAATAGCCCAGCAGACGGGGAGGTCCCGGCACCTGGCCCACACCTGTCTACCAGCCCCACCTTTGTCATACCTGTGGCAGCTCTTAGGGATGTTCAGAACTTTATGGGGAGCCCTCCCTCTATGAAGACAGAAAAAACATTTGGTGTGTCTTTAAACAAGCCAGCTTCCTGGATTTCGCAGAGTCTATTGCTTTCAGTATCTGGGCTGGGCTCTGCAGTTATGGGAAGTCACTGTCCAGCCCGTCCTTGTTCTCCCTCATGCTGTTTCCTCTTCAGATGCCTACTATCTGTCCATTGCCCTGACCCCCGAGCATCTCGCGTTCAGGACAGTGCTAGGGAGAAGCAGCAAAACACATGTCAGTCTCTTCTGTTAATAGTGCAGTGAAAGAGGCCTGGGCTTGGGGTCAGACAGAAACACCTGAATGGAAGCCCTTGGCTCTGCCTGAGTAGCTGCATCACCCTAAGCAATTACTTAATCGCACTTGACCTCCATTTGCTTACCTATAAAATGGGGAAATAATGAGACATACCTTTTGTACCACCCTTAGACAAGGGCAGCCAAGGTCCCCTGCCTGGGTCCTGTGCCTTTAGATCAGCACCTGTCAGTTATTCATGTGCACACAAATTGCCTGGGGATTGTGTCCAGCTACAGATTCCAGCTCAGTTGATCTTAGGTGAGGCCTGAGATTCTGCATTTCTAACAAGCTCCCGGTGATGCTAATACTGCTGGACCAGGGACCACAGTTTGAATAGCAAGGCCTTTCAGGGTTTTTATGAGGATTAAATAAGCAGATTTACACAAAGGTGGCTACAAGAGTGCCTCACAGGGTGAGTGCTCAGATGATGTTCTCTCTCCCTACCTCCTTGAAGTTTTTTTTTTTTGAGACAGAGTCTCACTGTGTTGCCTGGGCTAGAGTGCCATGGCGTCATCCTAGCTCACAGCAACCTCAAACTCCTGGGCTCAAGCAATCCTTCTGCCTCAGCCTCCCGAGTAGCTGGAACTACAGGCATGCGCCACCATGCCCGGCTAATTTTTTCTATATATTTTTAGTTGTCTGATTAATTTCTGTCCATTTTTAGTAGAGACGGGGTCTCGCTCTTGCTCAGGCTGGTTTCGAACTCCTGAGCTCAAACGATCCGCCCACCTAGGCCTCCCAGAGAGCTAGGATTATAGGCGTGAGCCACCGCGCCCGGCCCTCCTTGAAGTTTTTAGAAAAGGATTCAGTGGCGGAGAAAGTTCACATGAAATTATTAGGACCACAGTGTTAGGGTCGTAGAATGGCAAAGCTGGAAGTGACTCCAGGGTGTTGAGAGCGGGGCTCTTAAACAGATTTCACCTTTCCCAGGCATCACCCAAAAATGTGCTGAACTAGGAAATCATGGAATGGGCCCCTGGAATCGTTAGTTTTAAAAAAGCATTCCAGGTGTTTTTGGTGCCTTTGTTTGGGAATTACTAATCTGGTCTAAACTCTCATGCTAGAGATGAGACCCAGAGAGGTGAAGTGACAGCCCTAAGTCATGCAGAAGTTTGACCAATGATTCATTGACTGTTCAAGATGCATTTTCTGAACACCTACTGTGTTCAAGCCACCATGCTAAGTTCTAGGTGGACTCAGTGGTGAAAAATGTGACCCTGATCCCTGTCCTTACAGAGCTCATGGTCTGGTGGGGACCTAGACCACCAGACATGGACCAAATAGATAGTGTGGACAATTACATGTGGTAATATGTAATACACGTTCCATCCTATGCAAAGTAGAGGGTGCAGTAGCAGAGGTCACAGGGGGACCTGACTTAGATTGGGGAATCAGGGAAGGCTCCTCTTAGGAAGTGACCTTCTAGGTGAGACTTGGAGAGTTAGCAGCGAAGAGCCAGGTGGAGAGTGGGCAAAGCCCGGGGAGGAGTGCGGTACAGTTGACACCAAGGGGATGCCAGTTTAACTGAGGTGGGCAGGGGAGCACCGTGGTTCATGCTGCAGAGCCACGACCCAGGCCTTGGGCTCACATCAGTCATTCTCTAACTAGTGTCCCTGGTTCTGTCCACAGCAAACAGGCCCCATCAGCGCCACCCTGGTGATGACCCGCCCCATCAAAGGGCCCCGGGACATCCAGCTGGACTTGGAAATGATCACTGTCAACACCGTCATCAACTTTAGAGGCAGCTCCGTGATCCGACTGCGGATATATGTGTCGCAGTACCCATTCTGAGCCTCGGGCTGGAGCCTCCGATGCTGCCTCTCACCAGCACCAAGGGACAGGAGAAGAGAGGGAACAAGAGCGATCACGAGAGCGAGACAGACAGTGCACCTTTCCTGCTGAACGTTTCCCCAAGGAGTCAGCCCCGATGTCCTGACCCCCACCTACACCATTGCAGACCTGTCACTCTGAAGGCCACCCCCGGCTCCTAAGATGCAGTTATCGAAAAGTATTCTCATTGGCTCCTGATGTGACGTTATCAGTGATTTTCCAGTTTATTTCCATTTTTTTTTTTTAAGAAAAGAGATTAGGTTTGCTGGAGTCTGAGTCTGTGTCCAAAGACTGTGAACAGCTTGCTCTCGCCTCTTCCACTCCCTTCTCTCTCTCACTGCGTCGCTGCTTTGCAAAGGCCCGGCGGGCTCCCGGGGAACGCTGGGCATAGCTAGATTGCTTCTCTCGTGCGCTGCGAAGGCGGGATGGAAACGAACCACAGCAGGACCTAAGAGTTTTTAAAGAGTCTATTTCAAAATCACGTCTGGTATTTTCAGCCATAAAAGAAGTTTTAGTTGTCCTTAAATTTGTATAACTGTTTAATCCTTTCTTGTTCATTTTGAGTATTTTAAAAAAAAATAAGCGGTAGAATTCCTTCAGAAGGCCTTCCAACACATGCTACATTCTGTCTTCTCAAATCCAGTCTCCTCTCCATTTTAGCCCAATGTTTTCTTTGAGGACCCCTCAATCTTGCTTTCTTTAGAATTCTTACCCAACTGGGTTGGAAGGCAGAGATCTCCAAACTGATTAAATAGTCGAAGAGATCTTGTGTTTGGTTCATTTTGACATTTTAGATGATTCAGCATTTGGGGTTGGTTCTAGTTCTGTTTAAACCTTTTATTGTGTGCTGGCTTGGAAAGCTCTCCAGAGAGCTAGGTCATCATCTAAGGCAAACTGATGGCATGTGGGGGGCAGAGACATGGGGGTGGCAGAGAAATTAGGGGGAGCATCAACCCTGAGTCCTGTTTTGTTTGATTAGAAAACAACCAACAATCCTTCTCCTATGTGGAGTATTTCCTGTACTCTTGCAGAACAGGAATGTATTCAAGTTACTTTAAGCCAGTGGTCCTCAACCCTGGCTGCATCGAAGGAGAACTAGTAGAGCCTTGAAGAAAAGACTGATTCCCTGGGACCTGCCCCAGGAGACTCGGATGTCATTGGGCTTAGGTAGGGCCCAGCCATCTGGATTTTTAAAAACTGTAATAACTAGCCAGAGTTGAGAACGCATTGTTATAAACCCTACAAACAGAGGTGGACAAACGTGGCGCCCAAGGCCTGGCCACCTTTCCCAGAACATCTTTCAGTTCCTCTTCCTGATCAGGGACTCTGGGTTTCCTTTAAGTCTTAGAACCCTGGGCAGGGGCAAAGAGAGTCAACAGCGCAAGTTACGGATTGGAGAACAGGCTGGGACAGCTGCCTTTATGTTCTATCCCACGAATTGGCCCGAGGCTTCAGGAAAATAGTATGCTTCCTGATGGCCGAGGCTGTCTTCGGACTGATCTGTGGATGCTCCGTTCTACTTGGTGGTGGTGTGTTTATTAAAGACCTACACTGTGCCCTGGACCCCTAGGTTAGTAGGCATTTCATGGACCCCTAATAACTCCAGTTCTTCAGTGGAGGGAAATAGCATATTCAGATCCCCACAGCGTCCTAGCAGCTGCAGGTGCACCTTCCTCACCCACAGAGCATTTCTGAACCCACCACATCCCTAACTTTGCTCTTGGCTGTGGTTATTTTTTCTCTAACTAAGCACATCCAAACCATGCCCAGCTGTGCTCCTTCAGCCAGGTTCAAGCGATGCTAACAATAACATCAGCAACAAATGGCTCGGAATGCTCCGTTTCAAAGCTCAGAAGACAAAGAGCAAAGACCAGAAGGTGGCAGTGAGCCTGCCCCCGCCCCTGTGCCGGTGTCGGGAGGCTTAGGTGTCAGCAGCGGATGTGGAGTTAGACATGCTGAGCAGCTCTAGCAGCAAGCGGCTCTGAGCCACTGACTCCTGGGCTCAACACGCATGGGGGTAAGGTTTCCTTTAACTTCTGACAAAGAAGACAGGGAATCTTTGTCTTGGGGATTTGAGGACCCATCGGTTTCAGAGGTGCCACATTTGAAACCAGACTGGAGTCTCTAGGGCTTGGGATTTATTAATATTTGTTCATGTCAAAATGTGGCTTCCTGCTTCTAAGAAAAAAGGCACAGGGAGACTCATAAACGCAGCCTCAAAGGGCTTCTTGGACCTCAGATCCCTCTTTCAAAACATGGTCTGATGAGTTCAGTATAAATGAATCAGAAGCATGTGGGATCCATTTACCTTAAAATACACTTGGGCCTGAAAATTAAGGGAAAAATGGCCTGGGGCAAAGTGTGTACTGTAAGGCCAAACCCAAAACATTTGGGAAACAGTTCCAGAGGCTCCCAGAACCCAAAAGGCTGTTTGCTTCACCCTCCCTTGCGAATCATCGGATGTTGTTTTTTTTTTTTCCCCAAGACTGGGGTAAGCCCGCCCTCTCAATGCCCACATTGTGCTCTGCTGTGGAATCTAATGGGGTTGGCTGTTTCTCGGACCCTGAGACTTCTGGGCTCCCCATGCCTGTCCTTTGTCAGCTTTGCCTCGTCCAGGAGCTGGGCTGAGAGCTTGTCCAGTGACCCCTGCTCTAAATGCTCCGTCAGGTCCTGAAGAGTGCAGGGCTCTGTGGTGGAAGGGGTGCACATTCAGAGCTGGGACACCTGCAAAAGTCCTTGTGTTACCACCTCATCTTCTGAGTTCCACATGGGTGAAAACTTCCATTCAGTTGCTTCTGATTCTAAAGTTTTGTGATTCCTTGAAATGTACTTTGGGGATGACAGCCAGCATTTCCATTAAACTGCAAGTTCAGAGTTTCACAGTGGTTTGCCAATCATAACACTTTCTAATTGGCACAAAATCCGCCTACCTTTTGCCTCTCGGGCTTGGGTAACACACTTAGAAATTTTCTTAGGTAACAGTCTTGGCCCTTGGGGTGTTATTTGTCCAGATGGTGAAAACATTTAAGGAGGTCTGATTACTTCATTTTCAGTGGTTTCAAGGTATTTTTGTGGGCTGGGTGTTCAATGTGCCCAAGTTGTTCATCCTGAGCCAGGAGGGTCACCCACAGAGAGATGACAAAGGAGCAACTATTCTTTTCTCCCCTCTTGCCAGATGAAATCCTGTTTGTAAAAGGTCTTTGTCTAGGGGGGTCTATGTACTTTGGTGGAGCATCTGCTTCGCTTGAACCAGTTGTTGGATTCAGAGACATGAACAAGATAGACAATCCCCTGATAACACATTTATCCAAGGGTTTATGCAGTATATGAGACCAAACTGGGATGCAACGTGATAGGTGTATTAGTGGTGTGAACAAAAATCATTTTTAGTTAGACTTTAATAATTATTAACACGTATATATTTTATACAACAAAAATTCTTATATATCTATATATATATAGATATATATATCTATAGACATGTGTTTGAAATTTAGAATAAGATGACTTTGCTTTGAATTATGAAATATACAGTACTTAAAGGAAACAATAAATGTTAGGTAAAAATTTTCTTTCTTTCTGATACAATTTGTATGTACTTTGAAATGCAATATTTTCTTTCCTAAAAAAAAGTGAATATTTAGTAAAGCTCTTCTTTATTTTGGAATTGGCCAATGCTCATCAATTAAAAACAAATACACAGATTGTTCCCTGGGCTGCCATTTTTGTTCTCAAATTCTTAGTCCCTTTTCTTAACAGATGGCCAATATCGTCATTAGAATCCCTGAGCATAACTAAGGAATGTTTTTAAAAAAGTAACCAAGAGGCTCCAGGACAAAGGAGTGCACAGAGGCAAGATTTGTCACTTTGGTAGCTTATGGTGGGATGGCAGCCTCCAGTTAGAATCTTTGACTGGCTAATGGTTCCTAACGATGATCTTAGCCAGCAGCCATCAGAGAAATAAACCATTAAAGTGAGAAAATGGGTGTCAACACAGGAATGATTTATTGAATTGCCATTGTTGATGTTCTCTCATCCAGGGGAATTACATGTCGACAGGCAGGGACTAACAGCACTTTTTTTCAGGAATTTGTTATATTATTGAGCAATAATGTAAAAATGAAGGTGGGGTAAATTGTGCATAGATACAAACATCAATGTTATTATGATACCTATTTATCAGGATTTGATAAATTATTAACATTCATTTAGGGACAGAGAGTCATTGGATAGCTTAATTCCATTTAAAAGTAATTTTTGTTTGGGAAGGATTGTTTTGGTTTCAACATATCCCTTTTCCTAATTCTTACTTTCCAACCCTCTACGCAGAATGAATTTGATTTTGCAAAACTGGCTTGTATCTCAAAACAGCTACTGTACTTTAAAATACATGCTTTGAATTTTTCAGAGCTTTAATGTACACACCATTCATAATTTATCCCTAAAGGGGAATGTGGATTGCTGTTATATTTGTGAATGTTTTCTTTCCCCTCATCTTAAGACTTTTACCAAAAAAAGCCATCGTTAAAACCAAGCCACGATATTTGCAAATACCTTAGCTTTTCATAGTGATGCTGTAGTCTGCAGTTTTTTTTTTTTGGTCTTATTTTGTTTTGTTTTGTTCTAGTTCCACATTTTTAAAGACCTCGTGGATTCTACCCCAAAGCTGGCATTTCCACACAACATCTTGCCAGTCTTTCTAAGAAGCAGCTGTATGGGCCAATAACGCGGCTGCATTTTTATTGTGCAAAGGCACTATTAAAATCCCAATCTACTTCTTTCGGTAAAACCATGGTTAGTCAAGGGGATCCTTTCAGCTCAGAATTCATACATATTTGGGGAGAGCTAGACCCCCTTGCTTCTTGTGTTTATTTTTTTTTCCTTGTTGGAACTTTGGAATGTATTATCTTTTTAGGGCCTCAGTACCATTAAAAAAAATTCTAGTGGCATCATTTTTCTACATAAAAGCCAGGACTTTTCACAAATAGGTGGTGAGGAGCTCCCAGGTGTACTGGAAGAATTTTGGGACAGTAAAGCACACCAAAAAGGAGCAGGGTGCCTCATCTGGAGCACTTACAGGGAGGAGAAGAAGTAGCTCCTTCCAGCTACTACCGAGCCAAAGCGCCTGTGCTGGCCACACCGTCTCTCCAGATGTGGGCTTCTGCCTTGGGAAGGCACCCCGAGGCTGCTCTTCTTAATTCTCACCAGATTTCCCTTAGCCCCCTTCTACTCTTTTGCTGATTCTTCAATAAAGACCAACAAACCTGCTGACGGCTGAGGTGAGAAAGAGGAGGAGGAGGATGGAGAGGGAGCTGGCTCTCTTCTTCTTCCTCCCGGGATTAAACTCTGAATCCCCGCTTGACTTCTGAGTAGAGCATGGAGACTCCTTTGCCCTCTCCTCTCCCTCTTCCCTTTCTTCTTGTTCCTCTCTTCTCCCTCTTCTTTTCTTCTCTGCACTGTCCCCCACCTCACCCCGTGCCTGGTCTCCATCCTCAAGTTGGAAAGCAGGAGTCAGGGACAGGTCCTGTCCAGTGAGAGAGACAAAGGACAAAGCTGTTCATGCATTTTTGCTGCTTCTCCCTCCAACTTCTCTTTTCTTCTTTTCCAAGCACACAGAACCAATCTCCAGAACATCCCTTCTTGAGCAAAGCCACGGCTTCCTTTCTCTTGTCCTTATCCTGTTGTTTCTGCTTTCGAAAAGAAAGTATCTTTATCCAATTATGTGCGCATGGGTCTTCCTTGTGCTGTTCTTCATGAGGAGCCA